TTTTAAATTTTTTTTTTTTTTTTTTTTTACTGAAAAGCGGTAAATTTTCTTTAATTTGGGGGGTGGGGTGTGGGGTTTCTATCCTCCATGTTTACTCCTCAAGTTCTGAATAAACTTATAGCCTGTAATTTTGGTTGTGTGATAACATGATGATTCAAATTTACAATCTCTATATTTCAATTTACCTTATCTTCTGGAATGCAGTGCTGTACAATCTGTAAGCAGATTCACGGTTCCTGCACCAAGTGTCGCAGATGTGAAACTGGTTTTCATATAATGTGTGCATCAAGAGCAGGCTACAGCATGGAAGTAAGTTTAATTTTGTTGAATTACTTTGTGTACACAGCCTCAGTCAGAATCTACAATTTATGTATAATTCATTTTGGCTAAAAAGGTCATCTCACTAGGGGTGATGATGATTGTCCATTGAATCATCCTAAAAAGGTCATCTCAATTGACCTAAAAAAGAGATCATCTCAAATTTATGCAGACCTGCCCTTATCTTATCCTAATGTGGCAATAATTTTTCTTTAGTAGTTTGTATAATTGCACCTATCTTTTATGGTTAGAATTAAGTGAAAAAGGTTGGTAGTTGTGATCAAATATTATCTTGAACTTTCAGGTGCACAGTCTAGAGAAGAATGGCATACCAATAACAAGAAAGTTGATATATTGCCCATTTCATAGGTTAGAAGTGTGCCATATTTTTCTTATGTTTAATGAAACTAGTTTTTTCTATTGCTCCACCAATGAGAGGTGGTGGTTGGCTTTAATTGCAAGTCATTGTGCGCCAGATCTATTGATTTCTATCTTGTTTACTTTTGTCTTAATGCAGCCCCCCAAATCCAGATGCTGTTGTAGTTGTTCATACCAATTCAGGGGTTTTCGCTGCCAGAGGCTCGCTTCAAAATCAGAAGGGGTGCTTCAGAGTTGCAAGGGCAGTGCCATCGGAGAGCACTGAACTTCCAGAATCAGAACCTTCGACCTCAGAGACTAACGAGTTTGAACCGCTCTCTGCTGCAAGAGGCAGTGCTTTTAAAAGATCAAATTTTAAGGTAATTTTCTGCTATATGATTTTGCATCTCTTTGATCTCATCATTTTTCATAGAATTATTTATTGTTTCTGAGTTGAATTATGGATTATTTTCTGTTTGTTATTCTTAACCAGGGAGGTGAACGGCTGCCAATATTCCACCGACCAATGGGGCCAACACATCATTCCTTGGGCACAATAAATAGCTTGAGTACATTTGAAGTAATATTCTTGTCCTTGTTGATTTAAACTTTTCTTTTATGGGGTATGATTTAAACTTTCCATTGATGTCTAAATGTTAAAGGTATTTTTTTTTGTATAGACAATATATATATATATTTCTTTCTTTAGTGGGTTGGTTGGACAGTAATTACATCTATTGCCTTTTATTAGGAAGCAGAAGATTCTAAAGTTTTTTCCTCCTTCAAGGATCGTCTTTTCTACTTACAGGTACGTCAACTCTCTCATATGTTGTAGTTGCTTTACTTTATTGAGATGGACATTCTCGTTAACATTTCTTCTGCAGAATTGATTTACTGTTGTTTTTGTTTCAGAAAACTGAGAATCATCGTGTTTGTTTTGGTAAATCTGGAATACATGGATGGGGCCTATTTGCTCGTAGGAATTTTGAAGAAGGAGAAATGGTATTTAATGCCGTAGTTCCCTTTGCACTTACGTATATGTATATGCATTTATTTATAGTAATATGGATGTGCATTGTGAGTTCATATAGATTATTTCTAATAGTATAGCCACATAAAGATTACATTACTGATAGAAGTTGATACACTTGAGTGAATTCTTTAATTCCTTTTTTTTTTTTTTTTTTTGAAAATTTAGTTTGATGAGTGACTTCTAGGAATTGTATTCGAGCATATTGTTTGTGTTTGATTTAGGCAACCAAATGTTTATTTCCAGGTTGTTGAGTATCGCGGAGAGAAGGTGAGGCCGAGCGTTGCAGATATGAGGGAAGCACGATACAGACGTGAAGGCAAAGATTGCTATGTGAGTCGATTTATTAAGATACTCCTTTGTTTCCATAAGGGTGTCTCATTGTCTTGGCAATAGAAAATGATCTTGTATGAGTTGTATCATCTGACAACCCTGACGGATACAAGAATGCTTAACAAGTCAATTTCATGGGGGAAAAAATGCTGGGAACTTGTAATTTCAAAAAGTGATTAGTTTATGTAGTGTTTCAAAAATTGCTTCTCCTCTTACAACGAGTAGGAATGGTATAAGCTAGACACAAATACGAAGATAGAAGAAAAGTTATGGTGATCGGGTTGAAGAGCATTGTACCACTAGAAGTTCATTCTCTCTCAAATTTAATTTGTTTGTGGGATCATCCCACTGGGATGTGATTCTGAAGTCTATGAACTATCTTTTGCAGCTCTTCAAGATCAGCGAGGAAGTAGTAATTGATGCTACAAGCAAGGGAAATATAGCACGCTTAATCAACCATTCGGTACGTTCCATTTTCTCTAATCTCTCTCCAGTTTTCTAAAGACGTAGCTAATCACTTGGGAGTTTTTCGGTTGGGGTAATAGAGATGGCATTTTGTAGCACTGCATACATGTACATCTTTGCATACCTTGAATGCTAAATTGAACCGCATTTGCTACAGTGCATGCCCAACTGCTATGCAAGGATTATGAGTGTAGGTGATGAAGACAGCCGGATTGTTCTCATTGCTAAGACCAGCGTGGCCACTGGTGAAGAACTAACGTAAAATCCTCCACTCTCTTATTGTGCTTTAAATTTCCGTTTCAATTAGTTTAGATCGACCTGTATTCCGTTCAGAAAAGTAACGTTTCCCTCTTACTCGTCATTCCTTAACAGGTACGATTACTTGTTTGATCCGGACGAACTTGATGAGCTGAAAGTTCCGTGCCTCTGTAAAGCACCAAACTGTCGAAAATTTATGAATTAAACAACAGTTCATACATTTCTTGCTCCCAATTCATGTCTGCAGAGCTCGAACCCGTCTCCTAACCATTTAGGATACCATTTTTTCTTTCACCTGAGCTTGTAATTTTCGGTTTCTTTACTGCGATTCGTGTTGTAACCAGAGAGTAACAGAATAAAACTGTAAATTCCCTTCTATGGCTCAGATTTTATTCGAGTAATTTGTTGAGCTTTTGGTCCTCCTTCACACCAAAAGAAAAGGAAAGAAAAAAAGAACTTTGCAAATTAAAGAATCAATATTGAAAGTGTTTCTTGTTAATTGTCCTTATTCTAATTATTTTTATTAATCAAGTGTTGGGCATTTGAAATCAGGATTTCTTCCAACAAAGCGGAGATTAAATTCGGTTTTATGTATCCGATCTCGCCATTCGGGTTGTAAGGAAATTCTTAATGAAGCAAGATTCTACTCATTACCAATGCACAAGAAGATAAGCGAGATGCACGAATAGAACTAGTTCCAAATTTTCTATCAACAACATTGTGAGGATACTAAGCAGTCAATAAATTGCGTAATCTTCGTCTAAAAAAATTGTGTAATCTTTATTATTTGTTTAGTGTCCCTCAGAAAGTTTATAATCGGTTTAGTCTTGCATATTTTCGGTAAAATAAAACACCTAATTTTCTTTTAAAATCTAGTTAATCTAGAAATTTTAGGGATAGTTTTGATAACTATTGTGTTTTTAGTTTTTACATATTTGGAAATTGAAAACCAAAGTTAAGATTCGGGCCAAATTTTAAAAACTCAAGAACGTAATTTTCAATTTGTATTTTTTTTTTTTTTTGAAACTGAAAATAGTTATCAGATAACATTGCAATTTTAATTTTTAAAAAGTGAGGAAAAACAAAAAAGAATGAAAACCAGCCAGCCTAGTCCACGTGGCAAGCCCAACTCAGCTGAAAGAGCATCGATATACGGCCCATTAAATTCAAATGTGTTCTGTTACCTTTTTGAATTAGAGGATTGGCGCGCTTATAAATAGCGAAGCCTTGAAGCTCAGCTCTGAAAGAGAGTCATCGGTTTACTTATTTGCTCAGAACAACCGAACACTCACGCACTCAGAGAAAATGCCTCCGAAGCGGAAGAGAACCACCGTCGCTCTGCCACGGCCTCCGCCGATGCAAAAGCGCATGCGAAGAGCCAAGACGATTTGCTCTTGCAGCTCCCCTCGCTTCACTCGCAGCTCCGCTCGCTCTGCCTTCTGCTGGTCCTCTCTCTCTCTCTCTCTCTCTTTCTATCTCTCTCTCGCCCTACATTTCATTTTTTCTTCGAAATTTCATCCGCGAGTGGATTTGATTGTGTTTGTTTTGTTTGAGCTCATGCATCGTGAATTCGAATGGAAGTGATGACTTGTGATTGAATTATTTTCAATTCTAATTCCTTTTTTCTTGTAATTGAGCTTGTATCTGTACGATTACATGCACGTAGTTGAGAATTCAGTAGCTCGGATTCAAATCGGAGCTGCGATTTTGAAATCGTTCTGTTTTGCTCTAAATTTGATTGCGTTGCATGTGACCTTACTTCTTCGAGCTCGATCTTGAATTCGATCGTCGTAATTTACATTATATTTTCAAAAATAAAAGTTTCCGAAACGATTGTAAACTTCCGCGATTTGAATTTTCGTAAGCAAGTATGCAGTCGTCTGTTTGGCTGCCGAGAAAACAGACGAAACGAGAAAACTACATTTTCTTCTCTTTCCTCTTCGTACATTACGTATTTTTCTGTCTTAAATCTCCAGAGTTTGTAAATATTTTAGATGATCAAATTTTCCAATTCGGAATCTGAGAATATTTCTCTGTTTAATTTGGAAAGTATTTCACCAGTAACCAAACAGAGCGTAACTACTTTTCAAATCGATCCTAACTATTTTAATAATTTTAATTAATTAATTTTAGTAATATGATTATTTATGTGAGTTTATAATGCATCAAAAGCTACGAAGAGGACGTTTGGACAGAGATCGCCAATCATCTAGACGCCAAGTCACTGGTGATGCTCGCGACGACATGTCGTTGGTTCCGCGGTCTGATCATGGAAGAAGGGAGCATATGGAAGCACGTGTGCCTACGTGATCTTCAGGTCCCTGAGCCTCGTCACGTGGCACTCAATTGGAGGAAGCTCTACGTTTCAGCCTTTGGTAAGAATCTGAGAGCCACCAGAAGTCAATTAGCATAATAATATGGATTAGATTAGTTTTAAGACGTATTTATTATCGTAATTGTCTGATTAAGTGGGATTTGCGGTTTTGCAGATGGGAGTCACTCTTACATGTTTCGCCAGCAGGAGAAGCATATCGGTGAGTGTCCCATTTTGCCCCCGTTGGATTGCTTGTTGTGGTGAGAATTTTCAGGTGCTTTCATGTAATTATGCTCAAGAAATTTATATAGCTCTGTTTAAAATGTTTGTAAGATTTACAGGAAATTTGTATGAATCTTTTTATGTGTAAGAAAACTCATAAAGTCTCGTTCTCTCGATCACTTGGTGAACTTTTTTTTTATGTACACATTTCGTTATTTCTGACTATGGAAAAAGTCAGTGACTTGTGACATTTTTCCATCTTGTTAATTTTCAGCTGGTTTCCTTGCTCTCATTTGTCTGATTGAGAGTGCAGTGAAATATTTGGCTATCATGATGGGATTTTCACTGAATTTTGGATGAATCACAGACTGGATGCGCATCGGTGCATTCTCCGTTGAATCCTCAGAAGCATTCCTAACAGAAAAGTTGATCAAACCATCAAGGCTCCCAGAAGGAGATACCATACAGAAAATGTTGGAGTCCTGCGGCAGTTGTGTGTTGGATAAAGTTAGAACTGGGATATGGATTGCTGGTAATTACTTGAGCTGCACTCAGTCATCCTGGCGCTTTATTTTTGGACTAATGAAGATGAAATAGTGCCAATGTTCAATTTAGTTAACTTGTGTTTTCAACTGTAATGGTGTTCGACAGATCTCCAGCTTGTCCGATGCCCCGTCTGCGAGCTCAATACCTGTGATGGTAAGGCAAAACAAACCCATCACTGCTCAATATGTGTGTTTGCCAAAATGCTACACATTATCAAACTCTTCAAAACGACCTTGTTTTCGCAATCTTCTTATGTTTCATTGTTATATTCGTTAACAGCAACTGAGAATGTTTGCATATATACGCAGGAACGATGCAGACATTGGATGCAAGGCATATTGAGCTGTTCTTAAGCGAGGGGTACAAGAATGGAAGCTGGGAATACGAACTTATAGGTCGCCATGATGTCAACGAGCATGCCGATGGTGCTTGTGGGGCTATTTTCGATATGAAACACCTCAAGGAATCTTCAACATCTGGTAAACTTCAGATACTCTTTTCCCCCTAGTCATCTGTGACACTGGTATTTGCTGTTTCAGCAACCATAATTTTGACTCCTCGCGTTTGTTGAAAAGTATAAAGTGATCTCATTTAATTTCGAATGGAACTGCAGCAGTGTTTAATCTCAAGTCATGGGTGGGCAAACCAACAGACTGGCAACCAAAGGCTATCATTACTCTACATGCAGTTGCAGTCAACACAAATCTGCAGAAGAACGAAGGTACTAAGTAGACGATTTGCCATAGACATAACCGAGACTCAGCTTAATTAAGAATCTGAGTGACAAAATCCGTTTCTAACTTCGATGTTTTCTTCGATTTTCTCAACGCCAGGACTTCAAGTGAAATACCATGCCATGAGAGATGGACCTCAAGGAGAAGTAGTATCCATCAGAATCTCACAGCAGCTCCTGTAAAGTCACAGGCCTCAAAACTTCCTCGCCAAGCTACACGAAACAGATTCCCGGAACTCCACAGATTATTGCTAGTTGCCAATCTCCGAAGGGCAACTCAATAAAACGCCTTTCGAATAATCAGATACATGAAAATATTTCCTGTTAGCTTAGAGATAGATTGGTCTTCCTTGTAGAAATGATAAACACATATGCTACTACAGATACATGATACATGCTCACACACATATTTGTGAATCAATGAACGGCTCAGATCAATTGTTCAAAACATCTTTGAAATTAAAATTTTATATAAGCGATATTCTATATTAAATTCATCAAAATTACGTCAAACTTGGATGCAGAAGGGGATTCGAAGCTGACTTTCCGGTTGTTAACAAAGCTATTATAACACTATTCCACCCTTGTCATTCTGGTTTTTGTCCTGAGATAACATGGACATCTTACTCCTCGTCTCTCTCCTCTTCCCTCTCTTCCCCCACGTCTCTGAACTCAATGATTGCCCGGCTTCCAACTGTGGTGACGCCAGCTTCCCAATCCGATTCCCATTCTAGTTGGTACCCAACCAACCTGAAAACTGCGGTTTCCCGGGCTTCAACGTGGACTGCAACAGCCATGGCCTAAAAACTCTAAAACTTCCAAAACCCAGAGACTTTTTCGTCCGAGGAATCAGCTATGTCACACAAGAAATCCAACTTTTCAAACCCGAAAACTGCCTCCCTCGAAAGCTCCTTACTCTCGATCTCTCAGGCTCTCCTTTTGTTGCTCCCATGCACCAAAACTACACCTTCCTCAGCAAGTCAAGGTTCACTCCCATTGACTGCCTCAGCAACTCCACCACCTCGGTTCTGGCCACCCCTTCCACCAGCCTGACGGAACAACCCGTCCCCTAGTCGAGCCAACTCAACACCCCCAGCTCATGTAAAATGGCTACAATCGAACATGTAGTTTCGTGGAAAAAAGAACACTAAATTATGGATGCGTACTACAATAGTGAATTTCACAAAACGAAAATTGCACAATATTATTGCATCAGTCAAAGCATCACGGTATACAAGTACAAAACTAGTCCGACAACTGGGGGGAGATTGAAATATACACACCGAACCCCGAGGGATTTTTCTCTACAAAGTATTGAGGTTAAATGAAGCACATAATGTTCTTATTTCTTTGCAAGGAGCTTCTTTGGAATCTTCTCGATTGGGGTAGTTTTTAGCATGAAAAGCCTCGCAGCTTGCTCCTGTAGAGTACCCCCACATTTTAACCCACGAGTTTGCAGTTCAGACTTTAACCTTTCCCGGCCAAGAACCTACAATAGAGGTGGAAAATTATGTTAATGATGCTTCCTAACGATTTATAGTCAGAGCCCTCCCTAACTAAAATGACCATGGTGAGAGAGATGATGGTTAAAGCTGTGATAACAAAAGCAATGAGACGGGGACGTAATAACATGAGCTTTAATTTTGCTTTCAAAGTGGACATGCCTAGTCATGTTCACAAGGCAGACTATATTATACATAATCAACAAACAAGGGAAAGCGAAAAATTCAGCTCCAAAAACTTAGTGTGAGGAAGGTGCCCCTAATAGATTTAATTACAGCGCCGTAAAACATTTAACTTGAAGAGCAATAGAAGTGCTAAAAGCCCTAAATCGCTTTAACAATAACATAAAATTTCAATAAAAAAGATTATAAATCTGATTAAAAACTCAGAAGCATACCTCCATTTCTGCTGCTGAATTGTACTCATCAAAATTCAGTGGCTTTTCCATCCCTGCAGTGTTTCCACTCGCAACTGTTTCCTCCCGAACTCCTGGATTGGACTCTGAAGAATCATTGGCTTCAGCAATAAGTGATGCACTTTCAATTTCTTGCCCACGCCCTGATCTAGAAACCGTCTCAGATTGACCAACTACTTTCTCCAGATTTCCCATCTCAGGTTCATTGCAACCTATCTTTCCATCTTGCTCTGCTTCAGCTCCCGAAACCACATCAGGATCTGAACAAGTAACACTTGCACTCCTAACTATCTTCTCTTCAGAAATCACTGGTCCAACCATCTCATTCTTCTCAATATCAAGAGATCCTTGACCAGGGCATCCACCAAAAGCTTGTGGTCCCTGCACAACCATCTCTTTCTCTTCCTCCGAACCACTCTCACTTGAGCCCCCACTTGAGATCTCACCATCTTGTTTCCTACCAGTCACAGAATCCAAACTTCTCTCAGTTTCTTTACTTGAATCTGAGTTATTCCCATTATTCAATACGACAGATTTCTCCATTGTATCTTCATTATCACTGTCATCATCCTCTGAATCACTTTCACCCATTTTCCTCTTGCCCATCCTGACAAAAACAACAAATCAGATATCAACACCAATGACAATCATATTATACAACAATATTAAAGAGAAATGGCAGGAAGATACAGTGTTTCTCCAAAAAGATTCTGAAATAAAGAAAATGTAGCATTTCCGAAACAAGGTTTCACCAGAGATCAAAATTATACAATAAAAGAGACATCTAAGTAACATTCCGGCTTAACCAAGCCGAGTTTTCCTTTCCTAAATGAACTTGATGGGTTCCTTTCCTTCACTCTATAACATATAATCCCGATCATCCCCCATAAATCAAAAGCAAACTGTGAAAGCAAAGAGCTTGGCTTTGTTAACCAAATTATTTATCATGTGAGTTTTCTACTTCAATTATCATATTAACCTCTATACCTATAACTAACACATGTCCAAATCCTAATATTCATTTCAACACATAAGAAAAATACCATTTTTCTCAAACCACCATATCAATTCCCCATTGCATTTCTTTATATATTCTTCTGAAAGGATTCCTTCAAATTCATAATTTCCAATTCCCTAGCACAAAATCAACACAGCAAACATTAAAACCCAACACAAATGCTTACCAAATTTTCAGCCTTTTCGAATCCTCCATGGCCTCCTTGGCCGGCCCCTTACGCTTCCCCTTTACCGCCTCCTTAACTGAATCCAAAACCTCCGAAATGCAGCGCTCCGACTGCTCCCTATACTTGGCCACATACTTCTCAGCCAAATCGTCCCCAGTTCCCTTTTTACCCTTCTTCGCCACACCCTTCAAATAATCCTCTGCCATCTTCTCAAGCATCCTCTCTTCTTCCTCAGCCCTCCACTCCTCCAGCTTCTTCTCCGCATTAACATGCCGCAACCTCCGACCACTCATATCGCGACAAGCGTCGAAATTGCTCGTCTTCTTCTGCCCGGCCTTCGTCGCCGCCCCACGCAGCAGCGACCCGAACCCGCCCTTTCCTCCGGCGAGACGGAGCAGAAGATGCACGGTTGGGAAGTCCGGCGCGTGGGAGGACGAGCACGAGAGGACGGAATCATCCTCGAGCTGGCGAGTCCCGGTGACGAGGCGCTGGTGCTGGAGGGGTATTTTGGTGAATTTGTATAGGAGGTGCTTGAGGGAAGTGGCGGGGATCTCCGGGGTTGTGAATTTTAGGGTTAGGGTTTTGCCCTCCAAGAGGGTCACGAAGAGGTTGTATGTGTTGGATTTGGTGACGGTGGATTCCGCCATTGATGAAATTGAAGGGGATTATTAGGGTTTCGAAGGACGAAAGATTTGATGCCGATCGAGTCCAAGGAGAGAGAAGGAAAAGGCTGTCTGATTTGGGAATTGGGTTTTTATACGGTTCGCGGGTTTCTGTGACAGCCAATCTGGGTCGGGTGTTTTTTTTTTTTTGTGGAAATTATTTTTCCTTTCCGAAACTAAATTATATAAATAAGATTTGATATTTGATATTTTTTATTTAAAAAAAAAAAGGCAAATGTGTTTCAAATATGCACGAGAGAGATAACATTTGCTAGAGGTAAGTGTCATAGCCCGTCCCCAAATTTATTGTATTATATTCTTGATGATGTGAATTGATGGAATTATCCCTAAGAGAAGTTGTTGGAATTGGGCAAAATATTCGATTTATTTCTTTTATTGCCCTAGTTTATTTTGGTCAAGTTTAGACCTAGATATTTTATGGTGGGTGTTGTTTGATGATGTGTTAGTGTGAGGACCACACACACACACCCATAAGACCTCTCCCTCTCTCCCGTGCTTTCTCTCTCTTTTCTTCCTCTCGGATTTTGCAGAAAACCCATACAAACGTACAGACGAACCTTCAACCAACCCTTTTCTGCACAAATCGAGCTTGTGATTAGTACCATCATTTTCTCCTCGCCATCATGAACTCAACCATACCATTTTTAGGCCGTGGAACCATTGGAAAACCCGAGAACCGTAACCCTCGATCGTGGTATTGTTCATGCACACGTAAATGTGAAGGTTTCAGTGGATTTTAAGCTCACAGGGAGCTTTAAAAGGCCTTCACGAAGCTCAGGGTAGCTTGCTGGGTAGTTTTGGACGTCAGGATTTTAAGTTTCAAGTTTGGCCAGTTTCTCTCGAATTTCTCAGGCAAGATCCCGTGATCTTTGGGGCTTTAAATAGGTAAGGAAATGTTCTACAAGTTAAGAGCTTCAATTTGGTACTGGTTTCATGAAATTTGGATGAAAAATGACTGAGATATCAAGGTTTAATCATTTTCCAGTTTTCTAGCGACGGCGATGGTGGGCGAGGTCCACCGGATAAGACATAAGAATATTTTCTCAAAGTTGAAGGAATATTCTTAACTGAGAGTAACGGCGTCAGGTAATTTGGACAGAATATTCCTAATGGCAGTTAGGGTTTCCGTTAGGGTTCCCTGCGCATGCCCATGCACTTGCCGGAGTGTAGGTGGTCGGAAAATTATTTTAAAAATATGGGGATGTTCATGGAGTTGTGTAGATCACGTTGGTATATTAAAACCTCCATTTTAAGTAATGTATGAGAAGTTATTAGTTAGTTTTGGTTATGTGCTTTAAATTAACGTTTTTATAGTTATTTCGCATATAGGGGAGACTTATCCCGAGGACGAGCGCGGTCAAGGGCGACTTGGGGGCTACGACCCCTCGACATACCAGTGAGTGAGCTTTTGGTTTTCATTATATATTTATATACTTGATATTTTTCCAGAAAATGTATTTAAATGAAAGTATGCCTTGAATGCCATGCATATAAATTTATATTTTGTATATGAATTAGTATATGATGCATAATATATAATTGTGGTGCTGTGGACGCGCAGGTAAGTACCAGGTGAGTTATGTTTGGTTATGTGAATTATCAATGATGTGATATGTGATTGAGAAACATTGAGCTCATAAACCTGCACCTCGGTGTTAATGATTAGCCAGAGATATGGCACATACCCGTATATAATGTCACTTCCCGCACCATATGCTCACATTTGATCCAATTTAGGTGCCCAGTCTTGTTGTACAGACCATCATAAGTGGTTCCGACTCGTATGTGACTAGCGATTTATCGCCCAGCTATCATGAGAGAGTAGTGTTGAGTATAATTATATTACATCCAGTCTTGTCGTATATACCCCTTTTTAGTGGTTCCGATTTATGTGTAGTGTAGTGTCGTATAGGTCATTGTAGTGACTCCGGCTAGATTGACTAATGAGATATGAATTCAGCCGTACATACTTCTACAGGGGTTCCGGCTAATACGTTATTTTCCATGAATTTATTCTCACCTGAATTACTTATTCTGTTATATCTTGGCATGTCATACTTACGATTATGAATATGTGAAGCATGATTTGAATTGATATATTTACATATATATTTATGCATATGTTTATATTCTATTTTTGGGAAAATTATACATGTTTTACGGTGAGGGGTTAGAACTTTTGAGAAATGAAATGGTTTTGTAAAACATTTGTTTTTGCCCACTCATGTTTTCTGTTTTATGCCCCTCCAGGTTTTAGGTAAGTTTGCTATTGGTGGCTTTGAGGATTTCGGCGGTTCTGACATAATAAAATATTTGTAGGACATCTTCTGGTACTGTATAATTAGTATTTGTCATACTGGACTGCACCTAGACTTTCTATGCTCTGATTAGGAGTATTTACTTTTGTATCTCACTCCTAACGCTTCCTGTTTTTTAGTGCACCTTTGTAACTTTCAGTTTTTATTTATTCGTATAACTCTTATCTTTATTGCTTCCGCACTGTGCACATGACTACGTCACCCTCACGTGATGGCCAGCATGCCTCGATCTCAGTCGGGGTGTGTCAGTAAAAGCAAAACAGCTGTAATTATAACACAAAAAAATTATAAGTAAAGAGAGAAAGGAAATGATATTGATATTATTACTTTCACTTTTGTGTGTGAGAAATTTTTTTATTTTTATTTTTGAAATAGAAGGAGAGAGGAAGAAGGTGATAAAGAATGTACAAGTGGGAAGTTTTTTATTTTTATTTATATTTATTTTTTTATTTTTTTAATTAAAGATATGTTATGATTACATGTAGATGATGTTTTGAAAAAAAACAACAAATTTTGATTGTATGAAATTACATTTCTACCTTATATTTCTTATTCATGTTCTGTTTTAATTAGAGAATTAAAGTGATAATTTCATAAGATTTTGAATGACAATAAGTATTTTATTAATTAGTGTTTTATTAATTAATAGAGATTTGTAATTCTTTATTTAAGAAAAACAAACAAACAAACCGGACGTCAGACTTAGGCCTGGCAAACGGGTCGTGTCAGTCGTGTTCGTGTCGTTTTCGTGTAACACCTGTTATCTTAACGGGTCGTGTCGTGTCACACCCGTTATCTTAACGGGTCCTTAACAGGTCGTGTCACTTTACCCAACGGGTAAAGTGACCCGACCCGTTATGACCCGTTATGACCCGTTAAGAAAAATATATATTTTTTCTTAAATTTGCACATACCACACATTGCCATATAAATATTACTTCAAAACATTAAAACACATTTGTCGTTTAAGTACTACATCTACACTCGAAAATAAGAGCCTAATAAAAAAATAATACATACACTACTAATCTATTACAAATTTTAAATGTGCAAGGATATGCAAAATGAAACAGTTTTTGTTTTCAAGGTTGTGAAATCTTTCTCAAAAGTTTAAACCTCAATTTACAAAATCCTCGATTTACATCGATCATCATGAAATTGCATTGGAACTTTGGCTTGATCTATTGCCTTCAAGAGTTATGTTGATGATGTTTTCAGTAAGGTTTTCCACGTCATAACTATCTTCTGCATAAACTAAGCATAGAAAAACCATACATTAAAAATCATTCAAATTATGAGAAGTTTACCAAAATAATTATGAAAAAAAAATAAAACAATAGTACTATACCATACTTTTATTAAGTATAAACATAAGATTTTGTGGTATCCACTAGTGTAAATATTTTAAATTGAAGATCGAATTAAATCATTGTATTCATATAAGGTCAAGGAGTGTAGTTGTAAAAAATCATCAAAATCGGAGTTAAATTAACCGTTAAATCGTGATTTTTCGTTTATAACCGTCGAAAAGTTTTGTCCCGTTACGTGCTCTCTGAATGTTTGTTTTTTGCAATTTTTGGCGTATGCGATCTCAAAATATATACAAACATGTTTGACGGTTAGATCATTGAAACTAGTTTCGTAGAATGAGTATTCCATCAAAACAATAGATTCACTAATACTTAAGAGTTTATTCATACTTTTATTAAGTATGACATAAGATTTTGTGGTTTCCACTAGTGTAAATATTGTAAATTGAAGATCGAATTCAATCATTGTATTCATATAGGGTCAAGGAGTGTGGTTGTAAAAAATCATCAAAATCGGAGTTAAAATGACCGTTAAATCGTGATTTTTCGTTTATAACCGTCGAAAAGTTTTGTCCCGTTACTTGCTCTCTGAATGTTTGTTTTTTGCAATTTTTGGCGTATGCGATCTCGAAGTATATACAAACATGTTTGACGGTTGGATCGTTGAAATTAGTTTCGTATAATTCGTATCTCATCAAAACAATAGATTCACTAATACTAAATAGTTTATTCATACTTTTATTAAGTATAACATAAGATTTTGTGGTATCCACTAGTGTAAATATTTTAAATTAAAGATCGAATTCATTACTTGTATTCATATAGGGTCAAGGAGTGTAGTTGTAAAAAATCATCAAAATCGGAGTTAAAATAACCGTTAAATCGTGATTTTTCGTTTATAACCGTCAAAAACTTTTGTCCCATTACTTGATCTCTGAATGTTTGTTTTTTGCAATTTTTGGCGTATGTGATCTCGAAGTATATACAAACATGTTTGACGGTTTGATCATTGAAAACAGTTTTGTAGAATGAGTATCCTATCAAAACAATAGATTCACTAATACTTAAGAGTTTATTCATACTTTTATTAAGTATAACATAAGATTTTGTGGTATCCACTAGTGTAAATATTTTAAATTGAAGATCGAATTCAATCATTGTATTCATATAGGGTCAAGGAGTGTGGTTGTAAAAAATCATCAAAATCGGAGTTAAAATGACCGTTAAATCGTGATTTTTCGTTTATAACCGTCGAAAAGTTTTGTCCCGTTACTTGCTCTCTGAATGTTTGTTTTTTGCAATTTTTGGCGTATGCGATCTCGAAGTATATACAAACATGTTTGACGGTTGGATCGTTGAAATTAGTTTCGTATAATTCGTATCTCATGAAGTTCAATGGTGTGTGTGTGTATATATATATATTTATT